CACTTTCTTGTTGTCCTTCGGCTCCTTGTTGGGAAGCACCAAATGTCTGGAAAGTCTTGGGATGTCGCTGATGATTTTCATGTCACTCCCTGTTCCCATGAAGGTGAACACTCGTGCGAGGCATTCCATAGGCAGAGCCACAACCAACGCTGCAGCGCCGGCGCTGGTGCCGCTGGTGCCGCTGGTGCTTGTCTCGTCACTGGCAGCCACTGCCGTGACCACGCGCTCCACATCGCTCTCGTCCAAGTCATCCCAGTCTTCCCAGTCTTCCCAGTCCCGAACTTCCCGGGAAACACGGGAAACAGCACGGGAAACTTTGGAAACTCCGTCTCCGTCTCTGGCTGCACCGCGAAGGTCTTTCTCCGAGGGCTCTGGGAGCCGGAGTGGAAAGGCACGTCCTCGGGCCACGAGCTCCCACATCTGCCACCAGGTTCGGAGGGTACAGCTTTGGACCTCGTTGCGCTCAAAAAAAGATGAGACCCGTGAACGCTGTAAATCGTCACAAAATACTGATACTGTAAACCATGTTAAATCAGCAAGAAATGGCATGAAACACCAAGAAACCTGCTTGGACTCTATCTGACTTTTTGGGATGCAATGACTTATTAGCTGGTCTGGTATGCTCCAACTGTGATTCGCATGGCTTGAAGGCATGCAATGGGCCACTGTGAATACATCTGGGTACACTCTGCAGTTTTTGGAATGTTGGTGTCTCAACAGTCTCAACCACTCCGGACCACTCCCACTCGTTAAACATACCTGCTAGTATCCTGCTAGTAGCACACGGGCGTCCTGGCGAATCGTTGCCAGATTTTGCTGTTGGAAAATTGGAAAAAGTGTTTCTCTTCAAAAAGCCTTTCAGCATCAGTATGGGGGCAATATATTGGCTAGAATCTGAATGCTGGACCTTGTATAATCCTTGCATAATCCTTGTATGATCCTTGTGAGCCGTGATTCTATGATGCATAATTACTGAGTATACTTTTACTTCATTCCTTCCCTTGCGGCTTTCAAAGTTTCTATTCTGGTGGTCAGGGGGCAGGATGCCAGTGGATTTATGACACCTGGAATCTTGGAATCTTTTGAATGCTTTGGAGCCGGTGCTATGTCACTAGACGTCAATGGCCATCTCTGAAACGACAGCCTCACGGACGAGTTGCATGTGGGCCCTTTCGGAATTTCATTTAC